TGTTTTTTTCTAATTATATCTTATTGAGATTTTTTACAGAGAGGAAGGAAGAGGAATAAAGAGTTAGAAACATTGATGAGAGAGAAACATCAATCAGCTGCCTCCTGCACACCTCCTACTGGGAATGTGCCTGCAACCAAGGTACATGCTCTTGACTGGAATCGAACCTGGGACCTTTCAGTCTACAGGCCAATGCTCTATCCACTGAGCCAAACTGGTCAGGGCTCCAACATATTTTTATCCCTGATCATCCTCTTCCTGCAATTTTTCCACTCAGAGTTTAACCCCTCTTCCTCCACCTTTTTGTTCCCAAAGAAACCAAAATCAGATACGAAAAACTAAAGATAAGCAGTTTGATATCAATCCTTAAAAGATTGTAAAGGGGATTAATAAAGACATGATTTGTGAAAACTTGCAAGAAAAGGAGTAAAATGGAGTTCCAGCATGGGTTCATTAAGAACTTACATCAGACACCAGTTTGTTTATATTCTACTATAGCACTCACATTGTCATTTATTGGGTATGACTGTCTCACTCATATTTTGAGGTCCTTAAAGACAAGATCTATTTCTCATTCTTAATTCTCCCTGTTATTTCCCAATGCATTCAAGAATGCCCAGCATACATCAAGCACTTATAAATACTGAGTAAAGTTAATTTTTCTTTTCCTGACAGGATTATTAGGCTGATCGAACATATATTAATATACTTGAATTACAGACCTAGTACATCCATACTAGTAATTTAATGAAGTCTTTGCAATAAGATACAGACATATGGACCACATGAGGACAGGGACTTTAGACAGATTAGTTGCAAACTTAGTGAAAATTCCTAAAGAGTAATTATTTGATATATGCTTAATGACATAGAACAGGATTCTGTCACATCATAGTCAATGCTTTTTTAATTTGTTTTTAAACCAGATACTTTCATTAAAACAGAGAGGGATATGTGTAAGTTACATACACTAAGGTGGAGAATAAATGGGAGTCAGAACTTTTAAAAACAAAACTTTGACAAACTAAAAACATCTATATAATAAAAGCCCAGCAGCAACTGAAACAGCGGAACGACCATGGCCCCTCATCCTGGCTGGCTACACCCCAGCGAGTGGTTAGGTCCGATCAGGCAGGCACGCGAGCAGTTAGGGGAGATCAGGCAGGCAGGTAGAGCTCTTAGGGACAATCAGGCAGGCAGAGGCAGTTAGGGGTGATCAGGCAGGCGAGTGGATAGGGGCCAGCAGTCCTGGATCGGGCCTAAACCAGCAGTCGAACATCCCCCAAGGGGTCCCGAATTTTGAGAGGTTGCAGGCCAGGCTGAATGATCAGGCAGGCACGCGAGCAATTAGGGGAGATCAGGCAGGCAGGCAGAGCTCTTAGGGACAATCAGGCAGGCAGAGGCAGTTAGGGGTGATCAGGCAGGCGAGTGGATAGGGGCCAGCAGTCCTGGATCGGGCCTAAACCAGCAGTCGAACATCCCCCAAGGGGTCCCGAATTTTGAGAGGTTGCAGGCCAGGCTGAAGGACTCCCCCACCCCCCCCCTGCATGAATTTCGTGCACCGAGCCTCTAGTTGACTATAAGAAAAAAGACTTTTAAGGGAAAGTGTAAGGTCCTGCATCAGTTTCACAAACCTGCTTGCATACAGAAATGGCAATAACATAGCACACATGAAAAAAATTAGTGCAATTTTAAGTAAGTCAGATATGAATTCATAAGGTATTATTAACTCTCCAGGGTCATAACATTTAGACATATAGAACACTTAAATATTGAAATATGGAATAAATTAAATTTGCTCTTTCTACCCTCAACAGAAGTAGGATTAATATATAAAACTTTAAGACAGCAATTATGCCCAAATTATATTGTTCAAGCTTCTAGCTGGACCTGTCCAAAGTCAGAATGGGTTACTGTAGAAGATGGTAAGATCTCAAGTACTCTTATGAGTTCCAGCACAGACAGAGAGGATTCAGCTATGGTTCAAGACTGAAGCATGGCTGAGTTCTTATAATATAGATGACTTTTCAAATTCCTGTCAATCCTCATGGCAAATGGTAAGATTTGCATGGTCAGATTTAACATGAGGAAGATATTTTTAAGGAATCGAGTCAGTATTCAATGCATAGATCTCTCACATACAACACTCCTCTCCCCAGCAAAGTCATATCACCAAAACACAGAGCAGACATGCAAGTTCTTAGGTATCCAAATATTTATTGGCCACTTACCTGCCTTGTTACTGTAATTTCATCATGAACTTCAAATCCTAAAGGACTTTGCTTTTTATCAGAATTGTCAAAGGTGATTGAGACTGAGGCTTTAGTAATACCAGCCTGCCCATTTTTGTAAACTAAATCTTGTAAATTAGAAGCCCGAACCTAAAATTAAAAAAAAAAAGTTTATCAATTACAAAACCCCATATTGCACAAAATGGCTCTAAAAAATGGGTTTCCTGATATTTGGAAAACCACCCTTGTAGTATTACCCATCAAGTAACCAAGGACAGGCAACCGGGCCAGGAAAATAGCAGCAACCTCAATGAGTGCATCTTTCCGTAGGAATTTTTCAACTTTAAATTTAATTGTTTTCTACTCATTTCTTAACAAAAGTTCATTTAAGGTACTCAAGGGTATACAGATCTAAGAATTTCACTATTCATCCAATCCCGTTAGCAGACCCTGAAAAGACATTTTAACCTTGGAGGCGGGGTGGGAGGAGGGGGCACAGAATACAGACTCTGGAATGGGACTGACTGCCTTAAAGTAAGAATACCTGAGTTTGAGCGTTGCTCCAAATAACATAAGAGAATGAACCTTATGCAACCCACCTAAGTTTCTGGTTTCTCACCTTAAAAAATTGAGTAATAATCCCTACCTTTAAAGGGCTGCAGTGAGATAGAATTCCCATAAAGTAAAAAAAAAAAAAAAAAAAAAAAAAAAAAAAAAATGCAAATATTGGCAATAGTTTCCGAGTTCAGTGAAGAGTCCCCAAACTTAAATTCACATACATCAAAAAGTTTACACTTTACCTGAGACAGATTGGAGATGCCCAGCAAAAAACAAATGGAGTCCAATATGTTGGATTTCCCACTGCCATTTAAACCCGTGATAGCGTTGAAGAGGGGGTCAAAACCATTGACTTCAGTCCTCTGAGCATAGGACTTGAATCCTTCGAGAATGATGGACTTAATGTGCATTTTCACGACTGACTTGGACAGGTAAGCCTTTGCTAGGAATCCAATAGGCCGCAAAGGAAGTTCTGTATGAACAGAAACAACAACACACACGCGCGGGATGAAAACCTGGAGCCCTATGTGGTGCATGCCAGACTCACACAGAATGACAGCGCAACAGAAATAGAGCAGCAGCCTGCCAACCCAAGCTACTTCCCCGGATGCAAAGATCTCCTTCTCCAACTTAAAAACATACAGGAGTTGGTCCTTACCTGGAGACTAATTAACCCATTAATTCAACCTGGAGGTCAGCTACTCTTCCAGGCTCACCTTCCACCGTTATAATACCCGGCCAACAGACCACAGATTATTTCCCATGCCGGTCATTCCCTCTGCCCCGACTCTCCTCGCCCACCCCGGTGTGGCTCCCTCCTTTACCACTCGCGTCCCTGCCCACATGTCACCTTACTGCAGGTCCCTCCTGACTTCTCTGTAAAAATCCACTTTGTAGCACCCCTCCCCCCTACTCTGCTTTCTTTTTCCTTCATTGAACTTAGAGGCGACACTAAACAGTATGTATTTATTCGTCTACCCAACCTGTCATCACCCAAGTTCTAAAGGATCTTCGCCTCCGCCCCCCGCTGGGTGCTCCCATAAGCCTGACTCCAGGGCGCGCGCGCGGAGTGGGGAGCATCCGTAAATATTGATTAAAGACACGAATCCCACGTATCCTCCTGCTTCCACTCAGGTTGTTCCCTCGCCTCACCAGGCCTGTCAACACTCCCCCGCCACACTCCACGGCTGGAGAGGAACTGGCCATTCTGCCAGGAACCCTGTAGGGCTAATTTTAGCCCGAGGTCCCTCCTTGCTGCTCTCCCCGCTCCCGGCCCCGCGGCCCCCACCT